GTGTTAGCCCTTGTAATGGTGTGTTGTATAAACGCCGACGTTTGGAGGATCGTCTCGGCTAGCGTAAACACATTCAAGGACGTGAATCCGTGTTCGTATTTAGTGTGTAGTATAAACACAGCCTTAGTTTAACATTTTGTGGTTATACACTCTGATTTTGACAGTTTGGTAAATGATGAAATCCTCAGTTTTAGAGGATTCAAGAAGTAACGCTAACACTAACGTGGGCTCCAACGCTTAATGAGTGGTAAATACAGTAATTATCTCTATAAAATATAGTTCACCCTCCATTTTTCGAGACCTCTCTAATGTGGGATTACTTTTTCACAGTATCAATTAACAAATTTGGTTCTTTAACAAAAAAGTTAACCCTATAATTGGAGTTTAAAAAACATAGTGCAACTCCTTTTTTTGCAGGTCCAAAGAAGGGTGGGATGTGTCTTGAAAAGGCAGGTGAACTTTACATCAAAATGTACTGTCTATTTGTATTTTTCCTTCATTTATACTCACATTGATTTAAATACGTAGCTGTACATTCATTAGTTTTGACCTAAAAAAAAAATTGAAATCGTTGACACATAATATACAAATATTCCAAAATCCAACATACAAAAAATCAAAGAATGTCGAGTATTAAACATACAAAATATATAAAATGCAAATTTTAATGTGTTAATGTTCATAAAAACAAATTTTTTTGTAGACTTGCCACCACTAAATTGTGTTTGTGAAAATCCTGTGTCAGGGACGAATCCAGAGATGTACAAAAGGGGGCTGAAAGTTGGCCGATCGAGACAACATAATCCTATAGGGGGTCCGGAAATTTTTGTGTTCTAGACGCCCAAAAATAACATTTGAGGCGTTCTGGGCTATCATTTTTTTTTTTTTTTTTTTTTCGTTCTGGGCTATCATTTTTTCTTTATGTTTTTCTTTTTTTCTTTTTTTTAACCTCCCAAAAGGGGAGGCGGGCTGGAATAGCCCTGAAGTATCTTGTTGGACGGTAGGCGATGCAACATTCTTGTACGATAGTTTTGCTCTTCAATATAGTTTAAAAAAGGTCTTTGTTGTATTTTGTGTATTTTCTACTTTTTAGGCATTAACACATTATTGGCAAAAAAAAAATTCCTACTGACCTACCCATTTTTTGGATTTTCCCAACATGTGACCAATGCAAGAATTTTTTTTTTTTTTAGCCTTCCTTAAGTATTGAAGATATTTTGATGTATCACATTTATATTACAGAATTTGTCCTAATAAATGAATGATGGGAAGACACAAGCTAAAGGCAGAACATTTTCAACTTATGTGTCCTTTTCAAGGACACATAAAGACACACACTTTTCAGACACATAAAAGTTATACATTCCTTTATGACTTAATTTTCTTATTATTTATTTGAAGTACAGTACAGTAATTAATATTTATACTAACAAACTAGTAATTAAACTTCTAAACGCAATTCACCTCAATTTGTTTCAAACCAGAGGTGGTGCCAGGATTTGGCCTACTACTGTACACGTAATACTATGCTTACTTTACATACTTCTTACCATTTTATTTCATATCTTATATTTTTCATGGAGTTTATACTTAATTATTGTACTATACTCAATTATGACAAATGGTTAATGTGTTACTGAACTTTCAATAAAAACCATAATTTTCAATTATTTGTATTTCCTGTTAAAAAATAAAAGAGGGCAGTGGCATAAACCCCTCCATAAATTCTCTCCCCCCCCCTCCCCCGCCATTCTGGGCAGTATACTTTAAAGTAAAGCTAAATTCAAGTAATGTATCAACAGTTGACAGTCTGACGTCAGCACGATCACCCATAAAAAGGCAAATGCAAATTATACACGTAAATCCTGTCATTAATACACATCCACAGTAAAAGTGGTGTGGCTAAAGTCAACCTTTTATATACTCCATTAAAAATTATATATATATATATATATTAACATATTATTCTACTCTATGTTTCAAATAATCTATCTATTAGTTGTATATGAAATTTAATGAAGTTTATAAAATATATGAATGATTTTTTTAGGCATAGGCTAGAAGCATAATAATAGTAAAATAAAGTATATAATTTCATTGTTTAAAATGTTTTTATATTACTGTATAAAAGATTCAGGAAGAAGACAAAAGCAAACAGTGTGATGAACATCTTTCTAATCATTGGGAGCCTTATTTACCAATAACAAAACAACTTTGATATTGAACATTTACAGACCTGCCAACTCACCCGACCCCGTTGGGTGTCACCCTAAAACAAATCTCCAACTCTCCCGATCGAATGTAATTTTCACCTGATTTCACTGATTTTACAGGTCCTCCAAAAAATTCTCTGATTTATGCAAAAATTTGATTGATTTGATCATTATTATTCAATGTATTCCGCAACCTGCTGACTTCGCGATGCGATTAACAAGCAGTCATTTCGATTTTCACAGGCACACGTGAGCATGCAATTCTTGACGTGTCTTTTTTAGTATCTTACATCATCTTTTGGTTAATTCTGGAAACCTTGAGATTTTTTGTTAAATCTCCAGATTTTTTAAAGATTTTCATGACCCAGTGGTTGGCTGATCTCCTTTTGGGACGAATCATAATCTTATCATCCTATTGGTAAATATCGACAATGATTGAACTTGAACTAAGGGGTCCATGATGACTTAACATGTCCCAAGGTGTCCGCAAAGGCAAAAATGTTTGGAACCACTGGTGAAGTCACAGGCCTACATTTTTTACATTTTAATTTTAATAGTAATTGGAACATCAAAAAGAAAAAAAATCCAATCAATTAAAAATGTCCCAAAATGTCTTAATCTGAAAAGCTGTAGGAGCCATCATAATTGAATGATTGAGTCATTCAAAGTACGAAAATAGCAGTGACCATCTTCTAGGCCATAAACATTTCAACTGTGCCTACTCACTACTATTATACCCCTGATCTTATTTCATTAATTGCATTGAATAGGTACACAAATCAAAAAAGAACAGGAAGCTTTTGTAATTACAGCTATTTCCAAGTAACACTATAATAAATCAGTTTTGTTTGCAGAAATTCCCTTTGAAATTAATATTATTAATAGTGGAGTACCATCAATTTGAAAGGAGTTGTTCATCTGAAATTTGCAATTTTTAATTAGAATGTCATTTCTATACATTTTGAAGAATTAACATATTTATTTGAATAACCACTCTGGGGCTTTCATTGTTGAGAAGGATTTTTGAGGGGGAGTTTATGCAAAGGAAGCTCAGCCCCTTAATTTCACTGCAAATGTGGAACTACAACACATAATTACTGTCAAAATGTGTTATTGTGTGATCATATTATAAAGCTTTTACTGATCCCAACTACAGTAGGTTAGAAAAAATTAAATTCCACTGCAATAGAACATTAATTGATTGTGTTGACAAATGATGTTACTTCCAATAGATTTGTTCACAGTTTATTTAAGGAAAAAATAAAGGCCTCGGGCATATATTCGAGGGAGGTGATAATTCCAAATAAGGTTCTAAAGGGGGCGTTTATTCAAAGCGGGTCGTTTATTTGAATAAATACGGCCATTATCTCCGAAACATTATTTTCTAGGAGTGACTGGTTTAGCTTGTCTTTGCCACAATTACTTTTATTTAATTGATTACACTAGCTATCAGGGTTCTAGGTAATGAAAAACTAAGGGTGGGGATAGATATTTTGAGGGTGGGTGCATGATAACATT